TTTTTTTTTTTTTTTTTTTTAAAATGACATGTACTCAGGGCCAGTCTTTTAAAGATATTTAGGTACCTAAGGATTCATACATAGGCACATTAAGAAACTCAGTGGGTATCTAACCCCATTGAATTCACAAAATAGTACATTGATGGGCAACACTAATATTCCTAAAATAGATAGCCAGATGTCCCAGGCATCTGGTTTCCAATAAGTGCATTCCTTTTTCATATTTTGCAATATGAACAGTTTTAAAATGGTAGGGCAAGACAATGCGAGTTTAAAACACCTCAGAGGAAATCCAGTTCATTCTCACACTAAGTAAAAGGCTGTAAAAAAATAGTGACAAAATAAAGTGATTTTTTCCCCCCCCCCGTATTCTTAACAGGTATTACCAAGAAGCATTTTGTTTCACATTTAAGAAACCAATCCAACGTATTTCAAATAGAAAATTGTGTTTGTAATAAAATTTGCTTGAAATGGCAAATAAGTTTTATCCAGAAAAATCACCCTTCACACATCAGTATTTAAGTCTTTACATCTAAGCAGTCAAGTCTCAGCAATAACCTTTCATTGTATTTAAAACATACAAAACTCAGAGGTTAATAAGGTAAAATCTAACATAGACCTTTTATTAGCCTGATCCAGAGCCCATTATAGTTGACTGGAGTCTATTCATTGACTTCAATGAGTTTGGGATCAGAAACAAATACCTATCACTGCTCACTATCACAAGATACTTAACTTTAAGAATTTGGATTTCTAAGGTTTGTTTGTTTTAATTTTCCTTTCTTTCTTTTTTTTATTTTCACTTAGATTGATCCAAACCCAGATCAGCCCACAGATGACAGACCATCCTGTCCCTCTCGCTGAAGGAAACCATTGCAAGCTGACTTGACTTCGGTTTTAAATCATATCTCTGCCGTGTTGAAGATCAAGGTGTCATAGTGGAGATTACACTTTCAAAGGAAGTGATATTGCTCTTGCCTGTAAAACGGTGAATAAATGAAAACCTGTGATCATGCTTTTGAAGCCTACAGCAACACCGTAGGCCTGCTCCTTATGCTTGAAGACCTGAGCTTTTTTCCCTTAAATACTGGCACATATTAGGAGCAGCCTTATTAGCCTACGGTCATATGTGTCAAAACACTCACCATGTTGTAAAAGAGAGGGATGACTTCCTCTTTGATTTGAAAATTTGCACATGCTCATTGCTTACGTTGTGCGGTTCAGTGTCACTACAGCTTTCTCATTTATGCCGGACTGTTGTTACCCCTTCTAACTTGTTTGTGGTCCGCACAACAAGGAGCAAAAGAAAGCTTTGAAAAAACTTAAGATAACAAATGCACTGACATTTTTTTTTTTTAATTTAATGTAGCCTGGACTTTACCTGCATATGCACATGCTCAGAATTGTCCTAGTAGGCTGATCATGTATCACCTCTTCAGCTTGGATCCTGTTGTGGATTTATTTACAAACATCAAATGCCTTCAAGCCAATCCTTCTTGCTGTATGTTTTGCAGCCTACTGTAGTAGATAAGCAACAGATGTGTAGGGGGGGAGAAGATAACAGAAGGAAACTAATAAGAGACTTTGTCAAGATTGTATACCTTCTTGATTTCTTTTAAGAATTTGTTGCCTTTCTACTATTACCGCAAAGCAGCATTTTGTTACAGACTGCCTAAAAAAAAATCACTTAATCTCAGGTGAACTCATCACTTGCCAAACTGTTGAAATGCTATTTGTTTTATGTTGCACTGTTACTTTTTGTTTTGTGTTTGTGGGTTTTCTGGGGTTTTTTGTTTTTGGTTTTTTGTTGGTTTTTTTAAGGGGGATTTGGAATAGGGACATACACAAAAGTAACAAACCCACCCTTATTCCCTTTTTATCTTTTCTACAATTTATGAAGAGATAGTCAAGTTATGAAGCTTAAAAATGAAGCAAAATGAAGGCAGCACCAGCAGACACCAGCCAAGACCTAAGCAAGTTTAAATTTAAAAAAAAAGTTCTGGCCATAATTCAGAGAGGTTTTCCATTCTCATCCCATAAATAGGGGTGAGGTGGGAAAGTGAGTTTATTTTTATACATAGTAACTTAATCACCAGAAATTCTATACATACATAGAGAGATACTAGTATACTAGTACAAAGTATATTTCAAAAAAAGTGGTTAAGGTTGTAGTAAGAAAGCTTAATCTGTGTATTTTGTGTTTACAAAATTATAAGGACAAAAAAAGATAAGCAGAATAATGAAACTAACTGAACTAGACTACTGCAGTTACCAGTCCTACTAAAATACTATATAGCAGAGATTTTGCTTTGATTATGTCCTCTTTGGTGTTCTGCATACAGCAAAACATTCACACAACACTTAAACGCTACGTGCAAACTGCTTCTACCCTGCATAACATGAGTAAACTCAGTGTACCTGAGGGTGGCAGGGAACCAATGTATCTTGTAGCACAAAAACCAGCACATAAGCAGTAGGGATTTTGTACGTTTGTTTGCAGAAAGCTACTCATTATACAAACTTTCCTCTTCAGAAAAAAGCAGCCCAGGTTTTTTAATGGGTATGCAGTTTTCATGTTGACTGTTCTATTAATTCGTGTCCCTTCTACCATTTACGCCATCTATTATAAAGTAGCTGGAAGTGGGGGACAAGGGGGAGTTTTGTATCTGGCCTGGTGCTTATTCTTACAAAATGCTTCCTTATTTTTAAGGCTTCAGAAATGACAAGATAGGCTTTTCCATAAGTGGCCTTTATGAAAACATGGAAGACACTTCATGTTGACAGGGTGAAAAAAAACCCAGTATAAATAAGAATCGCGTTTTAAGTGATTCAGTTAAAGGGTTTGGGCTTCTATAAGCAAACTAATACATTAGATAATAAGGAAATTGGGTGATGTCTTATCTTATTAGGCCATTTTTGTGAATGTCCCTCCCCTACAGAAAAAGAGCTGATGGGATTTTTGGCATAAAAGGGCATTTGGTGGTGTGGTTTTTTTTTTGTTTTGTTTTGTTTTGGGTTTTTTTGTTCCTTTGTTTGTTTGTTTGTTTTAATGGACTAGGGAACAATTGTTGATACACGTAGCATTAATACTTATCACAGTATAATGGAAAAATTATATATAAAGCAGGATTGACCAATATTATAGTAATTGGCACTGCAATACAAAACTGTGGTCGGATTTAAAGATCTAAAACCTTTATCAAAGAAAAGTTTCCATTAAAATATTTCTTTATTCAGTTCTTTAGAGGCATTACTTTTTTCCTTTTATAAATATTGGTCAATTCTCAACATTATTATAAAGTGTGAGGGTTCACAGTTGTAGCCCAGTATTTGAGATAGACTCATGACCTGAATTAAGGAAAAAATAAGTAAAATCCAAAACTTTAGAGAAACAAAGTGCAATATTAAATGTTTGCTTTATAGATTATATTCTATGGCTGTTTGTACTTTTTTCTTTTTTTTCTTTTTTTTCTTTTTCTTTTTTTTTTTAGTTTTGGTGCTGACTATGTCCTTGTAGACTCTGTTTAAAAAAACAATACGTGGAAAACCATTTAATTTTTCCTATTGCTCTTCCTTGTGGAAATAAACTTTTTTTTAGAAAAAAACTCAAAAACAATTGGTTTCCTTGAGTGGTTTTACTTGGGGGGGGGGG